ATTCACTGTATAGTGAAAATAAATCAGGTGACAGTACACATCCTTGTCGTACGTCTCTCTGCAAAGGATACGTAACTCACTAGAAGTGTTGCCAGATAAAACTACATTTTATGCCAAACCATTAACCAAAATATGCCAGAAAATATCAAATAAAATGCAACATGTACTCACTTCACATCAAAAGCTCTAGATTGAATTCCTCACTCCCCGGTGTGGGTTCCGGGGCTCCATTGTGTGGAAAACAAGAATAGACCCACTGCCTCCCCAAAAGCATGTCGTAAGAGTCGACTGTTTGGGAAGCTTCCTTTAAAGTCGGAGTGCATCTGCCGGAGAGGCAAGGAACCAACAGTCTGTATTCAAGAGAATGAGATTTGTAAAACTGATGCACACGCAACACTCAGGTTCTGGAGCAGGACTGCAGTTCAGTAGTGGACGAGCAACCAGAACTTTCCGCCAGAGTGTACAGCTGAGAAGAAGAGAAGAAGAAGAATTTTTCACTGTTATCCTAACTGGAACCAGTGGAAGATACAGCGTAAACCTTTTCAAATGTAAAATCTTCAAGCATTTTATCAGATGGGATAAAATCTTTGCAACTCATCTATAATGATGGCATATTTTTTGTTCCGAAAATCATCAATAAGGTCATCCTTAAGTGCAGGCAAAATAATATTTTGTATTAGGCATGAATATTTAGTTCTATGGAATTGTACGTGCTCCAATGTACTCCCCCGACCATGCGCTCTCACGATTTCACCTAATTGTGCATATTGCACAATGGCAGGTCATGCCTACAGCAAGTTGCAACTCTGCTGTTTTAACTGTATCATTACTTTGCCTAGGAGTCATTGTTGTAATAAGCTGTGACTAGCTTTTTGACGGAGTTTTCATTTTGCGCTTTTCGGATTTTTCATAATTTGATATGCTACTAATTCTTGGTGCAACAGTGCACTGCCATAGGTTGCAATATGCTGCCTCTGATCCGTTTAAAGATCTTTTGAGCCGTGGCTATGTCTCCTTCCAGTTACTACTTGCGATGTCATAAGTTGCTTTCCATTTGTTTGGATGACGTGGCCATTGGTAAAAGTAATAAAATCTATCACATATAGAACTAGGTCTATATCCTCTTTATTTTCTGTCCTCAAGTAGTTTCTGAACAGTCTGAATCACTTGGTATGTTTTGGTTTTATATCGGGCGTTTATTCTAGTAGATTAACATAAATTACAGAGGACCTTGGTTTATCAAAGTCACGATCCTTTTAGAAAAACAACAAATACAATAGGAAATTGCGCGAGTTTTTTTTAGTCCGTACCAGGGCCTCACAAAGACAAATTGAAATAAAAATGTTAACTGTAGGTCTACATTCTTCTTCTTCTTCTTCTTCTTCTTCTTCTTCTGCCTTACTATCCCCCAATGGAGCATAGGCCCTCAACCAACTCACGCCAAGTCGTTCTATCCTTCGCCATTGCATGGAGCTCTCCTCATGTCCTCCCAATCTTTCTAACCTCATTCTCCAGCTCTCTTCTCCGTGTGTTTTTTGGCCTTCCTTTATTCCTATGCCCCTGTGGGTTCCAATGCAAAGACATTCTAGTTATGCTGTTCTCCTGTTTTCTCAGTGTGTGTTCTATCCAACGCCAGCGTCTTTTCCTCACCTCCTGATCCACTGGAGCCTGTTTAGTTCTCTCCCAAAGTTCTACATTAGTTATTCTATCATACCATTTTATTCCCTCTATACTGCGCAGGCACCAGTTAATGAATGTCTGTAATTTATTAGTAATTGCCTTGGTTGTTCTCCATGTTTCCGCCCCGTACAATAGTACTGATTTGACATTAGAATTAAAAATTTTTAGTTTAGTATTTCTTTTAATTTCTTTTGACCTCCACAGATTCCCTAGTGCTATGAAAGCATCTCTTGCCTTTTGCATTCTTATTTTAATATCTCCATCAGTTCCTCCATCTTTATCTACATTACTGCCTAAATAGGTGTACGACTCCACGTCTTCGAGTGGGGTGCAATTAAGAGAAACCACACTACAATTTGCCTGATTTATTCTCATTATCTTTGTCTTTCCTTTATGGATTTTCAGACCAAGCTGCTGTGATCTCGCATGAAGTATATTTAATTTATCTTGTATCTGATTCCGTGAATGGGACAGAAGAGCAATATCATCAGCGAAGTCCAGATCATCAAACTGTTTTGTAGGGGTCAACTGAATTCCATTCTTGGTGTTAGCAGTTACTGTTTTCATAGTCCAGTCTATAGCCAGTAAAAATAAGAGGGGCGACAAAAGACATCCCTGTAGCACACCTGCTTTTATTTCAAATGCATCTGTTAGCTTTCCCTCATGAAGAACTCGACATTTCATGTCTTTATATGTTGCCTTTACTAAGTTGATAATTTTCTGTAGGATTCCATAGTGCCCCATCAATTTCCAGAGAGATTCCCTATCAATGCTGTCAAATGCTTTTTCATAGTCTATAAATCCAATGTAAAGTGGTGAGTTCAGTTCAATGCTTTGCTCTATTATAATACGTAATGTGGCTATCTGATCAGTACAGGATCTGTTTGACCGAAAACCTGCCTGCTCATCTCCTAACATTTTATCAATAGCATCTTTTAATCTTTCCAAAATAATTCTACTTAATATTTTTCCAGGAACTGACAGCAACATAATTCCTCTATAGTTTTCACACTCCTGTAGATCACCTTTTTTGGGCAGTTTCACAAGATATCCTTCTCTCCAGTCTGCTGGTATTTCTTCGGTTTCCCAGACTTTACTTAATAATCTATGTAGCAATTCTGTTGATGTGTTTATCTTGGTCCTGATGGCTTCAGCTGGGATACCATCTGGGCCTGTCGCCTTTCCTTCCTTGAGAAGATTTATAGCTTTTCTAATTTCCTCTTTGGATGGTATCTCACAGTTGATATTCAGTTCCATTTCTAAAGGCTGGATGTCTGGGGGAACCTCTGGGCCTGGTCTATTTAGAAGCATTTCAAAATATTCAACCCATCTGTCCATTTGATCTTTAGTGTTAGTAAGTACCTTTCCTTGACTATTTTTGATTGATCCAGTTGGCTGACTATATTTACCTACTAATTTTCTTGTGTTACTGTAAAGTTCTCTGAGGTTTCCTTTTGCTGCTGCTGTCTCCGCTTCTTGTGCTAGATCATTTAGATATTTCACTTTATCTGCCTTTATATGCCTCCTAACTTCCTTGTTAGCTTCTGTGTAATTCTCCTGAGCTCTAGCTTTAGCAGCTCTAGTTTTGCTATTGTTTAAATCTGCCTTTTTACTTTTCCTATCTTCAATCAGTTTAATGGTTTCTGGTGTTATCTATGCTTTATGTTTCCTTTCTTTCTTGCCAAGAACTTCTACGCAAGATTCATTCCAGATTCCTTTGATCTGATCCCAGCAGACTTCTGTGTTGACATCTTCAGCTAACTGCTGCAACACCTGGTACTTATTAGAGACCGTAACTGAGAACTGTTCCTTAATTTCTTTATCTCTGAGAAAGCCTACATTATATTGGTTTCTATGATTATAAGATGTTATATATCTTTTTAGTTTCAACTTGATTTTTTTAATCACTAGGAAATGGTCAGTAAATACATCGGCACCTCTGAAAGCCCTAACATCGTAAAGGGATGATCTAAACTGTTGTTAATACATATGTGGTCAATTTGATTAGTTGTCTTATGGTCTGGTGATTCCCATGTTGCCTGTGTTTTCTTTTATGGGGAAAAAATACTTCCACCAATAACATACTGGTTACCTGCACAAAAATTTGTGAACAATTCTCCATTTTCATTCATTACTCCTAGACCATGTTTCCCCATAATTTCTTCATAACCTGTGTTGTCTGATCATCCTATCTTAGCATTCAAGTCACTCATCAAAATGTTTAAATTGCTTTCAGTAAATCTGCGTGTTTCTAATGAAGGAACCATTAAGAAAATGTGAGCACATCTTGATAAGAAAAGCCCGGAAAAATCAAAATATGCCAGTTCATTATCTTATGCCGTTCTAATTTTGAAATATGCCAAACTTGCGGAATCTGGCATAAAAAATGCCAATATGGCAACCATACTCACTAGGTCCTTTTTCCCTTATGCATAAAATCGAATTACATTATCTCCCTTTTTGAGGGAGATAACTGTAATATGACGCAACTTCCGTTGCCGAGTGTGTGTCATCATGGTAGGTGTGTTGTGTTATCTGTTGTTTTGTAATATAATATTAGTAATTATATCAACACCGCCATAGCCTGTCCATTAGATGCTCTTTAACGTGCACGTTATTGGTATAGTTGTCGTTAGAAAAACCCACTAGCATGATAATACTTTTTAAAAATATTATCTTTTACAACAACGCTGCTTCGCTTCTGTCGACAATATTTAATAATTATTAACTGTGTATGGACGTACGGTACCTGTACTGTAATTTACACACACATAAACACAGTGTTTGAAAATTATTTTAAAACCCACCCACCCCGGCTGCAGTCGGGGCTCTAATAATAATAATATAAGTAACAAACAACCTAATGATTAAACAGGGTTTCCGGGACTTGGAACTCAGGTGATTTGATTCTCCACCGAATAGTGACACTTTGTCTCACCAGGTGTTTTGTTTGTCGCTCACTTTGTGCGGTCCCGGCGGGGTTGAATAGTGCGGTCCATATGGTGTTGAATATCACTCATTCCCTGTAAGTACACATTCAAATGTTTCATTGGCGTTAACCGGCATAAATGACTTACTTACTGGCTATCCTCCTAATAACGGTCCCAAATTATCGAGGCCAAAAATATACCCTAACAGGGCCTCAGTCACGTGTCAATTGCACACTTCCGGCGCCTTAAATTGGGCACTTCCTGCGACTTCCACCACCGCTGTGTGGATTGGGGATTAACTAGATGGCTGGGACTCACAAGCAGCAGCTGCCACATCTCCTGCAGCTTCCTTCATTTTATTTGCTTATGAGTCCCAGCCATCTAGTTTAGCCCCTGAATGCTGCAATATGTCTTCAGAATTTCGACTCTCAGATGGTGGAAAGACACAACAAACCTGAAATAGAAGTCAAGTAAGTGATGTTATGTTATGAAGTTTGTTGCACATCCTCTTCAGCAGCGGTTCTCAACCTGTGAGTCGTGATCTATTTGGGGTCTAACAGCCCTTTCACAGGGGTTGCCTAAGTCCATCAAAAATTGACATATTCACTGAAGTTATGAGATAGCAATGAAAATATTTGGCTCTACTGGCAAATTTGGCCGGTAAGCTGGAATGCGTCGACTGCTTCGGCCGGCTTAGCGGGATTTAGTGGGAGTTATGTCCCCATGGCCGCACTCAAAACAACGAGCGGAAAAAGTCACGAATCAAATGACATACTTACCTATCATTATCCGGGTGCGTGTAGGGCTGCGTAGGGTGTCTATCATCGTCCTACGGTTGCGTGTAGGGCTGCTTATTGCGTGTAGGTTGGTTGTTTGCGTAAGATGAGGGTTAGGGTTTAGGGTTAGGGGTTAGGCTTTGGGCGAAGCTACAGCAACGTCGCAAACGTAAGGCATGCCATCTATCTGCACGAGGTAGTAGTCCACCATAACAACGTCGTCGACGTCGCGCACAGTCACATACACACACAAACAATCGAGGGCCTGTGGATGTTGGTGAAACGATCAATTCACCAGCGACTGGGCACCAGCCGCCTGCTATTGGCGTCGTCATATTGTCGGCCACTATTTCGACCTCCTACGTGAAAATTTTCAAATCGAACCATACCCCTAAACCCTATCCCTAAACCCTAACCCCTAAACTCTAATCCTAAGCACTAAAACCCTAAACCCTAAAACCCTAAACTCTAACCCCTAACCCTACCCCTCATCTATCTTACGCAAACAACCAACCCTACACGCAATAAGCAGCCCTATACGCAACCGTAGGACGATGATAGACACCCTACGCAACCCTACACGCACCCGGATGATGATAGGTAAGTATGTCATTTGTTTCGTGACTTTTTCCGCGACTTGTTTTGAGTTGTTTTGAGTTTGGCCAAGGGACATAACTCCCACTAAGCCCCGCTAAGCCGGCCGAAGCAGTCCACCTTACCGGCCAAATTTGCCAGTAGAGCCAAATATTTTTTTGATTGCAGATCACCACAACAAGAGGAACTATCAACGGGTCACCACAACATGAGGAACTGTATCAAAGGGTCACCACAATATGAGGAACTGTATCAAAAGGTCACCACAACATGAGGAACTGTATCAAAGGGTCACCACAACATGAGGAACTGTATCAAAGGGTCACCACAACATGAGGAACTGTATCAAAGGGTCACCACAACATGAGGAACTGTATCAAAGGGTCACCACAGCATGAGAAACTGTATCAAAGGGTCACCACAACATGAGGAACTGTATCAAAGGGTTGCAGCATTAGGAAGTTTGAGAACCACCGCTCTACACAGGTACACATAAAAAGATCTGAAATGAAAGTAAGAGGCTGCCCTAGAAGAAAATGGACCGATGACATTAAAGAGCTTCTGCGTCCACATGGAATAACAATGGCCAGTGCTGCCCATCAAGCTGTTGATTGCAAACTATTCCTCCTCATAAGGCTTAACGGCAGAAGTAGAAATTGTTGACGATGATGACTAAATGTATACCTTTGTACTTGAATAAATGTAGATATTGTACCCAAACAAAAAAAAACCATCCCTGAAGATAAGATAAACCCTATGCATCATTTTGAGCAAACAGTAATATAAGGCTGAGTCTTATTTTAATGGGTACACAAGTAGCTTGTCATCATTTCTAAATGGTTTGACACTTCTACCGTTTGGTCTACAACTGAATTAAACCCCGGTAATGCTGGAATTATATAACTGTTCTCAACCTTTAAACCACAGAGGCTGACTAAGACTCAAAACTGATATGAAAGGTTTTGAGTATTTCACAACATGCCAGTAGTCTAGTCTAATCTTCAGAATTGAGTGTGTAATGTCTTCACTAAGAAATAGAGCCACATGGACAGAATGAAGTTCTAAACATAAATTTTGACTTTCAGGAAAATACTAAAATTTTGGTTTAGATATTTACAGACAGGGACTACCAAGAAAAGGAGTCAGTTGAATCTACCTTATGCATTCCAGTAGATTCATAGAGGCATACTCTCTTATGATAGGTGCATTTTGCACCATCTTCAGAACAGAGATGACACTTTATCTTGCTGACCTTCAGTGTTTAAAAAGTGCTGGCTAAAAAAAAAAAAACTTTCCCTTAAAGACTTGGTTAATTCTTTAAGCCCATGTTCTTCAAAAGATTTTATATTTTCCCAGTCTGTATGTGTTAAAAGGTTGAAGAACACTGCTCTAAGCCATCTATGATCTAAATCTGCTTGTTTGACTAATAAATAGAAAACAGCTATCATTGTACTGTCTTGAGGGGCAGAACTAGTCTTGCAGTTGTTCCAGCCCACTGTGGTGTCTGTAGAAGTAAGAAGGCATATACATTTGTTAAACTTTCTTATACTTCATTTGCGTGATGTCTTTTTTTTTCCTCTCTCTCAGAAACAACAAAGAGTTACTTTTAACACCAGTTGTGATTAGTCGTAATGAAAGAGAAAAAGTTTTAATAGAAGGCAGCATCAACTCACTCAGAATCAGCATTGCTATCAAACAGGTTTGTCTCACTTTAAAAATGTGTGTTTCTGTGTTTTATATGTTCGCTTTTGTAAATTTACTGTGGGTATGTGTGTGTTTGTGTTGGATAGGTGTGTTGTGTTGTTAGTGTAATTATGTGTGGAATATAAACAAAAGGCATGATGCTGATGATACGATTTTGATTGCTGGTAAAGAAATGCGTTTAGAAGAATTGACAGTACACTTGTAACTGTGGCAAAGGTTTTAATTTAAACAACAGAGAGGCAAATGTAATCATATTTACAGTGAATGAAGGAGTCGAGAATTGATGTCACTGCATTTAAGGCATTCCCACATGTGCTGTTCCTCTTCCTCACTAGCCAACAGAGAGTTCCTGTACTGATGCAAGTTGCAACCAGATTAAAAGTCCACTACTCTTTTCCTTAGCTTGTTGAAACCATCCAGATCCTGTGCTTACACTACATTGAATCAGTCTTTTCTTTTGGACTGTCTATTGTAACCTAAAGCAGCTAAGTGTCTAGAGGATTAGCAGAAGCCATTTCATCAGCTTGCACTTTATGCCACATACCCAGAAGTCCTGGACAAAATATCTATGATAGTCTCCTGATCTAAATCTTATTACGTGATGTGATCCACTCCACATGTAGGACACCATTTTCTGTTCTAAAAGAATGCTTCTAAAGTTGCAAGTGGAAAGTAAATGGAATATTCTAAAGCTGATCAGTTTGTTCAAGTATTTGGGTACATTAATAACAGCATAGTGAAGATGTCTTACAGTTACATTTAAAATAGAACAAGCAAAAGCTGCATTTTCACAATATGCATAATTAGAGCTATATGGTTCCAGTTTTGATGTTTGGAAGTGAATCATGAACAGTCAGCGGTTTGGGCAGATTAACTGCATAATGAAGGTGTATTTCTTGCTATCTATGTATATCCTCTTCATGAGGCTGTTAACACTTAAACCATTACAGAAGTGATCTCCATTGCTGCCAGTCTGCTGCTTTTCTCTGCCCATGTCATTTTACATTCTCTCAATTTCCATTTTACTGTCCTTCCCCAGGTTTCCTTATGCCATCCACATTTTTCTGTCTGCTGTCCCACTGTAGAGCTGACCTTACCAAAGGGTCACAAGGCATTTTGCAAACATCTATCTTTATCTTCTTCCTTTAATAACATTTGCAGATTTTGAAAATTTTGTTTTTTTCTTCAGCTGTTCATTTGTGATCCTGTTTAGCTAAAATATTCACAGGATTCTCCTTAAACATTTGTATACTTTATTTATACTATAAATATATATATATTTTTTGTATTTACATTACTCAGTATAATGGGGTTCTTGTGGTAGCAAAGTGGTCAAGCCAGTTGCCTCCTAAAGTGAAGGTCATGGGTTAATTTCGCAGACATGTCGTTCAGTTCACGTGTGCAGTTTTTAACGGAGAGAAGGAGAGAGACCAACTTATTGGGGGAGGGGGCGGGGGGTAGTAACCTTGACAGTGTAGGCATTTCTCTTGGCTTTAGTTTTAAAGTCTCTAGTTTATGTATAATTCCTGCTTCCATTTTCCAATGCTCACTGTTGTATAAAAGTATTCCTAAAATTTTGCTTTTGTTTATTCTGTGTTTTATAGTTTTCCTTTATATTAAGCATGGCGGGCGCTTTTTTTTTTTGGTGTGCTTTGTTTATTTGTGATGTTATATCTATTTCAGAATCCTCATCTAGCATAGCTTTACTTTTGAGGTATATACATTCTTCAACGTCTTTTGTTGCTTCATCGTTTTAGATAATTTGATTCTCTGTTTTCTGATTATTCTTCATTTAATTAATTTTACTGATATTTATCTCAAGTGCCATTGTTGAATGTCTTTCAGTCTTTCCATGAGCATCCACAGAGCAACTTGTAAGATTGATGTCGCTTGCATAGTCTAAATCCTCTACAGTGGATGTAAGGGACCATATTATAAGCCTGTATCTGTCACTAGTAATTTCCTTAATCAACCAGTCAGTGGCCAAGTTGGACCCCACAAAAATGGTGTTATTATACATCCCTGCCTGTCTCCTGTGTTGACAGAGAAACTTTCTGTTGTGTGCTTATTACAGATTACTTTGCAGTGAAACTCTAAATAAATTGCCTTGATCACCTTTACTATTTTCTGTGGTATTCCATACTGATGCAGTCTTCTACAGTGATTCTCTATGCAGGGTATCAAAAGGCTTTTTTAAGTTACACATACATTGCACTATCCCATTCGTTGCTTTGTAAAAAAAAAAATTTTTGAGGCAGCCTACATATATGTTCATACTGAATTATTTCCCCCTTCTAAGGCCTGCTTGTTCTTGCCTAACATTGCTATAGAGTGCTTTAGCCACTATCTTAACAATAGTCCAGCTTAATTCAAATGTTGCTTGCTCATCTCTTTTACAGGCAGATGAAATTGAAAAAATTTTATGCCACAAATTCACCAGATTTATGATGATGCGAGCAGAGAATTTTACCATTTTACGAAGAAAACAGATAGAGGTATAGTTTTATGTTTTCTAAAACGGTTCATAGAAAGTATAGTTTTAAATGGCGCCTTTTAGAAATGTTATATATTTTGTTCTGTGCTGGTTTTAGTGTTGCTCTATATTGTCTTGAACGGACAGGTGGTGACTCAAGTTCTGGAACAAGATCACTGAACTTTCCGCTGGAGTTCACAGCCTGTTAACATGCTGAACAACAATATGTAGCTTGTCGCAACCTGCCCTTAACAAAAAAAAAGATGTAGGATTTCATTTGATTCTTTCCATTCAGGAGAGCAACGTAAAGTAAGTTGCAGATACTGTTTTAGGAAGTAAAGGTGGCCAGCGTGATGCTGACTGAATCACTAAGCGAGGGCTGATTGGTCTATAAAAATATGAGTCTGAACTCATATTTCTGATACACCACTGATATATAAAGGTACCTTTACTTTTTATACTTTACTTTGTGACTGATGCACTAAAGGAATGAAAAGGGTCCTTTACTTATTTTTCCATTGAGACGTATGCAGCAAATAGCCCATATGAAAAATATACAAATAAAGTTCTATATTTCAGGGCTATGATATTAGTTTCCTGATTACCAACTTCCACACAGAGCAGATGCACAAGCACAAGTTGGTAGATTTCATCATACACTTTATGGAGGAGATCGATAAGGAAATCAACTTTCTCAAACTTGCTGTCAACTCCAGGGCTCGAATCTGTGCTGAAGAGTTCCTAAAAAATTTCTGACGAATTGAAGTTCTTGTCTAGGTGGTTTCATTTGATATCAGGTATGGTGATTTGTTGGTCACACAAGCTTGTGTGGGTCTAGGGCCCAATTGTGGGGAGGGGGGAGGGGGTTGACACCACAAAGCATGCTGTAAAAGGTGACTAAAAGTCAGACTGCATGTGCCTGAGAGGTGAGAAACCAACAGTCTGCATAGAAATAAGTAAGATCTGTAAATCAGATGTGCACTCAGAACTCAAGTTCTGAACCAGACCAAAATCTAGAAGAGAACAAACACACAGGGCTTTCTGCCAGAGTTTACACCCGATGAACGTGAAGAAGAAGAAATGTCACATTGATATATAGTTGTATGTTGCTTGGCAGTGTTTGTTGGATGAACGTGAAGAAGAAATGTCACATTGATATATAGTTGTATGTTGCTTGGCAGTGTTTGTTGGATGAACGTGAAGAAGAAGAAATGTCCCATTCATATATAGTTGTATGTTGCTTAGCAATGTTTGTTGGTTGTTCTGGGGAATGGTTTTATTAGAATTTGTCATTATGTGTCATGGTTTGTGCAGTATCGTCGATAAATCCTTTTATTTGAACACACACAAAATTCTTAACAGGCAGCAGAAAGATGTCAGGTATTTAATTAATTTCCTATCCCAAATGACATCACAGGACAGTCCAACATTTTAGAGAGTGATAAGACTGGGTTTCCTGGCTTTCTGATGCTTTTAACGACCCCAAAACATCTATAACTGGCTCTAAACCCAACCCACCTACGTCTTTTGAGTCTAGGTCCCACGACTGCATGCTGCCTATCTACTGCTCCCTGAAATATTAGACTGTCCCATGACCTGTAGATTTCCCGTTGTGGGTAGATATTAATAAAGCACCAGATGTCACAGGTAATATTCACAGTGGAGATGGCACATGATTAATTGATTAAAAAAAATAGTGATCCAGAAGTGACAACAAAATGGAAACAGATAGAAGATAGCGATATTTGGGAATATGCTTAGGAGAAGTGAACAGAGAATCACAAAACAGGCACTTAGAATTAGAAACAAATGGAATGAGAAAACAAGGATGTCTAAAGAAAACCCTAATAACATTGATGTAAGAAACTTCCCTATGTAGGTTCCAGAGACATTTATGAGGTGAGGGGTGGGATGTTAATGTTGTAAAAGGTAACTAAATATGGAATTCCTGAAATGGTTGTTGGACTGAAAAGTATATAATGGAACTTAGCTATAAACTACAACACAGCCTGCCACCCACCCTTTTAAGGGCAGTCAAAGAAGAAACAGAAGCAAGAGACAGGAGTCGACCATCATGGTCATGAAGGCAGACATGGAACATTAGACACTTCATGGGAATAAAAACTCATATGGCTAAGGAATTGGCAATGGATTAAGTTATTCTATTGGGCCATGAAAGGAGCAATATTCTGCAAAGAATCCTTTACAAGATGCCACAATAACATTATTATGTTATTCCATCGTTTTCTTGCTCTAAAATCTCAGTAATATTTTTGTGTGTGTACATTTCAGGTTTGGTGCTATTCTTGTTTGAACTTTGCTGGCTGGTTAAATCTGCAGTACTGTGACAGCTGTATCCTCTAGTATCGTGACAAAATTCTTCTCCAGTACTGTGGTGGGAGTTTCACAGAACAGAGAGAGACAGGATTGTCGTTAGTTGATTCTCATGTATAATTACTTGTTTCTAATTGTGAACACATATAGGTGTAACATTTGTTGAAGTTTATTGAAAAGTTATTTTTCATTTAGTGTCCATTGTTAGTTTAATTTAAAAATAATTATCTTCCATATGGATAATTTGAACTCGGTCTAAATAGGAATAACTACACTGCCATATCCTTGGAGAGTAAACAGAAGTGGACCACTCTCCATAACTTCTACTATATCAACACAGGGCATTATTATTAAATGACTTTGTTAACCGAAGATGGGTTCAAAATTCTTATGTTGTTTATCCATTGCTTTTTTTTTTTAAAGAATAAAATAATCAGTGCCTTTGGCTTCAGTCATTTTTCTTTGTGTTTTCTGTATTAATCATAGTTTCCTAGCATGTTTTTCAGGACTGTTCCTTGTTCAGCCTGTTAAGAAGGGAAATTACTGTTCCTTGAACAGTCTGTAATGAAGAGAAGTTACTGTCCCTTACTGTTCTTTAGTGATTAGAAAGGATTATCATCACAGCACTCCAGACAGATCTATAGGTGCTCCGATCTCCTCCTCAAAAGCTCCACAAGTGTAAAACGACTGATGACGCCTGTTCTGTGTTGGTTAATGAAACATCAAGTCCTCTTAGTGAAATGTTCATTTCTTGCAGCTCCAGGCTGCACCCCCATGTCCATCAGTCTAGACATGGATATGGCGTGCTTGGTATGGTAAGTACAGCGCATAGAAGTGATGTTATCAATGCACTTCTGTCCAGTACTGGGCCAGTCATAACAACTGCAGTGTCAGCAAGATAGTCTGCATGCTCATTCCCTTGAACACCCGCATGACCTGGCACAAAGGGCAGATATTCATGAAGTGCTTAATGTTTCAATCCATTCTTGCCTGAAAAATCCAGCTTGGATTTTTTAAACATATTTATCGAGTCACTAAGAAAGCATACGTGTGTGAGAACTTTTGAGTACCAAGCCATGCTAAAGCCCTTGTTGCAGCCATAGTTTCCATTGTAAGGCTACTAGTTATTTCAGCAAAGGTGCCATTTATCTCCTTGACGGTTTCCCTCCCTTGACCCTTGAGCTTACTGTGAAGGCCGATGCACTTCGCTTGCCCCTAATTACTGACCCATCTGTGAAAACTACAGCACCACGTTCATCTGTGTTTTCATCAGTCAGTGTTCTGACTAAAGTGTCAACAATGCTAGGAATCTGCTCTCTACAGCTTCCATCAAGTGTGATAAGGACTGTAATATTAATGTTTGGAGAAGGAGGCATAGTTATCCATTCATTTCCAAAATTAATGTCAGTAAGGCGGCAAACATGGTCGAAGGCATCCGCAGCCTGACCCATCCCGGATTTGCCTCGTTTATTTACTAATTTATTAATTACTGTCCCTTGAACGGTCTTATAAAGGGATATTTCTGTCTCTTGAACAGTGTCATGAATGGAGTCACTAGTTTCTGTCCTTTGAACTCATTAAGAGCCTTTTAAGGGAATACTGATTAAAAGAGTCAAAAAACTAATTGAAAAAAATTAGTTGCAACAGTTTTAAAATATGCAATCTTGATCAGGCAGGTCACATTTACTACATCTTGCAGTCCATATTGTGTGGTGGTAATAATATGACTGTGCAGTCTTAGGCGGGTCTCTTTGCTGTTAAGAATTTCTGATACACATGTTCTTACATGCTTAGAGGTCACACTGTCTTCTCACATATCTCAGTCTCTCTCTTCTCATCTAATTTCCCCATTATCACAACATATTCTAGTTTTCCACTTCTCATTCTTTGCTCAAAGTATGCAGATAGCTTTCTTCTAAAGGAATTAATCAGTTCTATTTTTTAGGTGAGTTAATGTTTTTCAAGACATCTTTATAATGCCTCTCATCTGGCTGGTGTAACATGAAAACTTTATGTTACAGCAAGGAAGACCTGGCTCCTTTGCCTTGGCTGACATCTGGTGTAAAAGGAAAGCAAAAGCGCAGACAGCAGTAGTGCTTATCTGATCTGACTGCCTCTGCAGCATGCTTTATTGAAAATATATTGGTGTACTCCTCCTTTTGAGTAAATAAGGCAAGCTGAAGGAGGAACCATGATGTGCGGGCAAAACAGGGTCTCTATAAGACCACTCAGATTCTCATTCCTCTCCGTAGCATAATATACCATCCATCTGGAAAGGTGCCAACACACATCTCTTCGGAATGTTTTCATCATTCTTATTTAAAATCACAGCAACACAGCTTCCAAATTTGTCACTAATCAAAAACTAGAATATAGAATATTGTTCATCCAGACAAACTCCCTTTCAGTCCTCTAGTATAGCTGCTGCATTTTCCCAGGAATTGATTAACCAGTGAAGTTTACCACACATTTTCCGCACTACAGTACTATGTGGATGTCAGCTATAAAAACATATACTGGTGGTTGCACATTTACTGTTAACTCCTGAGCTTAATTATTATACTAACTTATCTTATATACTAACACTTTATTTTACTATATAAAATGACAAGTAATGATGTGCAAGTACTTCACAACAGGAACCCTGACAACTCACCAAATTTCTCACTAGAAAGAATAAAATACATGCTTTTCAGAAATTGGGATCTGCTTTTGTCGCATGTTCATCAATTTCTGCCCACCTTTCTGGGTCACTGTTTCCCCTGCCACTGGGTAGCAGTTCAAATTATCTGCACTGGCATGCATTTCACAAGGAAAGTACTCAACATAATACTGTTAGAAAGGGGGTGACCATTTCATTACTCTCATCAAACAGACACGAATGGGTGATCTGTTTGCACACTGAATTTAGTTCCATATAAATGTGGGTTAGTTACATTACATTTACAGGACAACCTCAGCATCTGTTGGCTGTTTTACTAGGTAACTTTATGTCTACTAGTTTGCCGCTGCATACTAAACGGTCGCTTCTCAATGGCCCTGTCAAAATCAAAGCAAGGCTGTCTGCTGCCAAATTGCCTGAAAGCCTGGAATCGAACTGGGTACTTCGGAACTGTGACGGAATGTCAATAGAAATTTTGTCCTACCCATACCAAAGATAAACATTTTTTACAGCTCAGGTGTGATGTAATTAACTACTGAAGCACTTGGTATTTAAGGTGATAGGACTGATTATCTCTATTTACTTCTACGAAAAGAACCTCACACAAAGCACAAACTGTTATTGTGTGTTATGATGCCCTTCTCTCATGAACTGAAGGAAGGAGATCAAAGCCTAACCAACATTATCACACTGCAAGGTTAACAGCTGAACCAATTCCTTATTGAGACCCTGTCCAGAAGAAGTTTGAGTCATAACCCATGTCAGAGAGAAGTTCAATCAAAAGTAAGAAGACACATCATCCCCTGTCACTTTTTCTGTCAAGCCTCATGGGGAGGAATAGTTATTGGTCCAGCATTTGATAAGTGGCATAGTTATTTCATTTTGTATAAATGAACAATGTGTTTAATGACATCATTTCACTTTTTTTCTTGGGCATTCTCTTGCTATCATATTAGATCTGACTTAATATGTAGCCCATGTGTTGGTAACTGGTATTGCTGCTACATTCCCTTTGAGCTGTCAGTCAGTGTATTTGTTACAAGGTGTTGTTCCAACAATTTGTCTCACAGTATCATTTTCCTACTTGGTCTTAGATAGCCGGACCAGTGGCTTTCCTCAGACATCTCAGTTTTGATTTGACTTGTGAATTTGTTTGGTATACCCAAGTTCAGCACTGTCTTTGTATGAATAATGTACTTAACAATCTCTCGCTGTACAGGCACAGTTATGTTTAGATGTTTTATTAACAGTCAAAGTTAGTAAACAATTCATCATCGTCAACATGTAGCAGGTCTTTTTCAAAACAATGATCTCATCACAGTCTGTCTGAAAAGAAACTTAGTCTATCGCCAGCACTCCTGCCTCATGTACTTTCATATTCAAGGAGTCACTTATATCCTGTGTCCATCTTCGTGTTGGTCTGCCCCTCCTTTCTTGTACCATGCCTTATGCTATTTTCCCAATCCGTAGTTGCGCTTCATATACCAAAATTTTGCAGCTTCCAAGACAAGATGCTAGTATACAAGTACACTTGCCTTTTTGACATCTTATTACAAATTCTCTGTATATTCTGCAGTTCATCTGCTACTGAAAGAGTTGACAGTCACAGAGTTAAATAGTATTACTCAATGCTGTATAAACACTACAGGAAGTCACATGCTGCTGCCACACTGTGAATCAGTTTACAACATGGTATAAATGAGATTAGATAATGTAGTAACAAGTTAATACAAATAGTCTAGTCCGTGCTGTGTGTGCTCATAAACTTGGTGCAGCCCAGTTCAGGAATTTCATAGACAGTTCATAACCCAGGAAACAGGCCTAGGAGGAGAAATAGTGGAATGCATTAGGTGTTGATATGGTCTTTTTTTTTTTTTTTTTAAACAAAATGTTGCATATCCTTTACAGGAGCCAAACCCAGCATTTTTTGTGCTGTTTGTGATTTCACTAGGCAAGTTTACATTCAGTAGTTTGCCACTGCTTGCAAACGGTCAGCTCTCTATACCACTGGAAACTAATGCACGACGGTCTGCTGCCAAATCACCTGCAGCTGGGATCGAACCTGACGTTATGAAGCACACTTGCAATGCCCACACCAGAGACTTAATGTTTCATTAAGTTAAAGGAACTGTTCACAGCATGATCTATAATATTAGAAACAGTCACACTGCCAAACCGTAAAGTGCATTGGGTATACTGTGCAAGCCCCTTATATCAATCGGTACTCGGTTGGTGAGGTGGTCGATACTACCCTGGGCGCCTTTATTTTCCAAAAACATTTCCATTACCCAGTTTACCTCGTGTCTAAGATCTTGAATGTATGCTGTATTTGTATAGAAGGTCCCATCTCCATGCCATAAAACATATTGGACATACAGTTCTATATTTTTATATATCATAGTTACCGGTGCCATCAGAATTGGAACTCTTCACTTGCTGACGAAGATGGAGACAAAGCTCTTATGGGAGTATTCTAGTGCTATGATGTCGATTCTTACTTCAACATTCAACACAGACATCATCTTCCTTTATCTCCTAGAACCTCTTGGGTTGGAATGACCTAGAGCCTTTACAATCCACTATGGTAGGGATTCATCTTATAAGGATGGGACAGACAGGCATACTTCTTTGTCTTAGGCGCTCACTCTTAAAAAGGCAGCTGGCATACTGTTCTCTGGGTTACAGCTAGGCTGTTATTTTGCATTTTTCTGATTTAAGAATACCTATAACAAGTTGCCTTTTACGGCAGGTTTGTTGGTGGCAGTTGGTCTATTCTTTTTTCCTGAATTCCTAAAGTCAACATGGGGAGATAAGCATCAACTCTATCACATATACAATAATAATAATAACTCAATCATTAGCAAATAACGAACATGGGATCAGCATTAGTTTTAATAAATGGAATCATGTTTTCATATTTTTGGCACTTTTCTTCTGCGTTCAACATCAGTCATGCTAAACATTGAGTCCCGTCTGGGTCAAAAATAGGACTGCGTTTAAGGTCGCCACCGGTCCCCCATAGCTTCTCTCGCAATGTGGATCCCCTGGGCTAGATCCACAGTCTTTGCTGGGAGAGGTAAGGGCAGTACTGCAGTATGTGCTCAGGGGTCTCTTTCTGCTCCACATCACAGGCAGCAGATTCTTTTATGCCTATCCTATACTTTTTTTTGGCACTAAATCAGGGCAAAATGTTCACAAACCATCTCTCACTGCAAGTATGTCTTCTTTGTGGTCAAAATAGAAGACATTATTACCAACTTTTCATGTGAACAGTTGGTACAGGTTTCTAGGGATGACTGCTGCAATGAAGGACCAAGCAGGCAAGGGTATGCTCAGTGTGCAGTGGTGTTGATTGTGATAATATTACATCATCACAGTCCATGTCTTTGGGTGACCAGTTTCTGCTGACTGACCAGTTCCCCCTACTTCCATCAATCAGATGCACTTGATATGATGTTTGCAACCTGTCCACTCTGCTAAATTCTGCATTCAGGTCTTTCTTGTTCTGCTTCTTATACATATACAGTATATAATTTATATAATATAATACAATATAGCATCCATAATATAATATGTAAATCATTTACTTACTGCATTGGCAGGAAAAGCTCTCAACATAATAGGAGTGAATCCTTTGTATAAACTCATGACACCCTCCTCTTTGACGATGTGCCTTATAACATCACGGACTCCATTAGGATACGCCCCATGAGGAGCTGCATAAAAAAAGGTGTATTAGATTTTTCCTGTGAGCTGTAGTGGTATAGTGGTGAGTCCACTTGCTAGCTGAGACAGTGGTATGGGTTCAGTCTTTATTAGGTTTTCACACATTGTAGGCCATAGTATTTGGGGTGTGGGTGTACCCTTATTTTCCTTCTCAGAAATATCCGAAAATTTCCTAGTTTCCATTTTGATCAGATGGAATTATCAACAGTCATGTGGTGGGGAGTTAATGGCTACTTCTGGGGATTGAACCTGGACCATTGCCTTGGCAGACAAGAGCAGTTTCATTACAATGGTGTTTAAAAAGCTGTAAAAGAAGCATCTTCCAACAAAGCACCAGGCCCTGACAATGTATGTGCTAAACTACTCAAAGTAACAGAAGAGGTAGGCGTAAAATAGATGCACAGACTGGACAACACAGGAGACATACGAGGACTGGAGAAACACAATAACAGTACTCAGCTGGAAGAAGAAAGGCAGCAAGAGAGACTGAGCAGAACAGAGGAGTTTCATTACTGAGTCACATTGGAAAAATATTTTGTAAGATCCTTGAAAAAAGGCTACACCCTATCATCGAATCAAAACTTAGTGAAGGGCAAATGAGATTTCAAAAGAACAGAAGTTGTACTGGTGCAATATTCACACTCAGACAATAAGTGGAAAGCATGGTAGAATTCGATAAAGAATTACATGTCACATTCGTAGACCAAGAGACAGATTTTGATCAAGTTCATCTTCTCCACGTCCTCTTTTACCGCTTCGGGTGTCGAGGGAGATATAAGGTCATTTACATTCTTCGTTCATGGATGTGAGATGTTGTAAATTCATGGCTGTATCTGCAATCAAGGCTTGGTCATCAGCAAAGAGTAATTCGTTGATGCTACTATTATTTTCGTTCCTAGGCCTGGCATCCTTGCTTATACTGTCAATGTATGTGATAAACAGAAGTGGTGATAGATAAACAGAAGTGGTGCAGAAGTGGTGATAGATAAACAGAAGTGGTGATAAGACTCATCCCTGTCTTATTCCAGATGTTACTTTGAATGGTTTAAATGTTCCCTGATTTATTCTATGCTTCTACAATCGCTATATAAGCTTTTGTGAACTTCAATGAGGTGTTCACTTACTCCATATTGAGCCATTACTTTCCATAATATTTGTGTATCGACCCTGCCGAAAGCTTTCTCCTGGTCTACAAAGAAGTTCTGATCATGTTCAATGTTCTTTTCTATTAACTGTTTAAGTGTGAAGATTGCATCTGTGCAGCTTCTATTTCTTCTGAAACACATCTGTTCTTCTGTCAACCGTGGATCTATCACTGGTTGCATACATTTTCCCAACACAACTTAAAAGAGAGAAGCCTCGATATTGATTGTGTTCTCGCTTGCTTTCCTTGTTCCTCAAAAATGGTACAACTATTGCATGTTGCCAGTCAGTGGGAACAGTTTGTTGTATCCATACTGCAGTGAATATTCTATGGAACCATCTAATGTTGCTTTCACCTGCTGCTTGGATTATTTCTGTGGGAAGTCTATCAGCTCCTGGTGCTTTATATTTGTGTGACTGCCTAATAACTTCAACTACTTCTGTAATTAGTATATCAGGCTCTAGCACTGCTGCTTTTTACTCTTTGGCTGTTCTTTCCTGGCAATCTCCTAAGGGGTTGAAGAGCTCACTGAAGTATTCTCTATCTTTCAGCTATCTGCGGTGGGTCTATTCCTGTTTTATCGTTAATTACTACTGTTGAATTGTAGCTCTCATCTCTTTTTCGCATAGTTTTTACTACTTTGAAAAATGTGCTGCTGGCTGTTTTCTCAATTTCTACTAATGGAAGGAAAAATAGTAATGACAAAAATGAAATGGTTACGTACTATGCTAAGTGTAACAAAGAAAGACCAACTTAGGAACAATGATATTAGGAGGAGAGCACAGAATCAATACTGAACTTTATAGGTAGATAACAAATCAAATGGTCCGGCCTTATAACAAGATTGGCATCAGACAGGGCATTAAAGAGAGCAATGTTATACAGATACAGCGGTAACACAGGTCGACCACGCAGAATATGAATCGCAGAAATATTATAGACACTGAAAAGTACTTTATATGAAGCGAACAGAAGGGCCCGTTCCAGAGATCTTTTTCTACCCTGACGCTGCAAGGCATCCCAGGAGTAGAGAAAAGAAAGATGGGGTATTTAAAAAAATAGTGCCAAACTAGGAAAAAAAAGGGTAAAGGCTATAGGTACATATTTGTATTAAGCAAGCACTTGAGCCAATAAAAAGGGCAACAACAGTCTTGTCAAGACCCAGGACCTGCAAGTGTGTGGTAAAAGGAGGAGTTTGAGTGATTAGCTGCTACTGCTCCTTTGGGCAGCAACATAATTTGTGATAAGATGGACATGGCGACTCATTCATTTATTTAAGACAATAGTAAGTCCTCTTGATGATTTAATGTTGAACCTTGCCTGAATGAAAGACAGCATGAAGTGGTTTGACCTTCTAATAAGAATGCAGCCTGACCAAACCCCATTAGAAACTTTCTACAGGATAAAATCTGGGAGGAAGATGAATGAAAAACCAAGGAAGAGATGGATAGATGGTGTAGCTGGATCTTGTGAAAGGATGAATAAATCCATCACTAAAGCAACCGTAGAAGTACAAGACAAATACAGAAAACCACACATGGGGTTACAACCTGGTAACAGAGTGATGACAAAAAAGGAAAATTTACTGTATATAAAAAAAAAGTATTATTCAGTGGTACCTCAATATACGAGTCCAATCTGGTACACATCTTGTTTAGACGTGACACGTTTTGCTTGGCATACAACCTTTTTTTTTTTTTTTTTTGAAATACAAATCATGTGTTAGAACCTGTATGAGTCTTGACACTATGCACTGCCAGGGTTTACCTCTCTCAATAATCAAGGCAATGTTTGCCAAATAGATGACAGTCAAAAACTTTGCAGAGAAACACCACCCCAAAGAAGCCCAAACAAGCCGTACCAGCACTGAAATGACCAGACAATGCCACATTTTCCAAACATCCTGAGGCAAAGGCAGAAGCAGAGTTTATTAGTGCAGATTTGTAGTTAAAGTTACACTGGTGAGCCTGATTCAGGTCTAAGTAGATCAAAACAAGACAGAAAAAAAAAACTAGAATTTCAGATAAGTTTTATTGGAAAGGGAACTCTCCTTCCAAACAAAAACATATCCTCCTTCTCCGCACCATCATAGCCCTCAACCCTTCTCAAAAAGGTAAAATTGGGTTACATTTTCATTTATTTCCTCTGCTCTTGTATGTATGTATTTTAATCTAAGGATCTGTAACAGATTAAGGACATATACCAAGGGATTTTGGAGGTGATTCTTTTGAATGTGACAATGTAAGGAAAGATTGGCAAAAATTAAATGCAAATAGAATTAACTGCTTTTAGTTGCATATGCATTTACATTTTACTGAATACATGTGGCTAAAAATGTTAAAAATAATGACTGACCAGTCTGAAGTCTAGATTTGAGGACATCTGGTGGAATAGCCACTGCCCAGTTGGCAATTCCGGCCATGCCGCCAGCAAAGATTGTTCTACTTATGCTCATTTCTGAGCGGCTGAAAGAGTACAAGTATTTATAATTATAATTCTGGATGCTGAAAATTATAACCCAGCATATAAAAATATTTTTTACAAAAGCACGGATTAATAATTATAACTGGTGCTGGGAGTCATGACAGTTTCCCTGTGTGGGTTCTTGGGAGTCATTTTGAGGGGGGGGGGGGGGGGGGGGGGGGAATAAGACTTATGCTCTTAATAAGCATGTTGTAAAAAGTGGTCAATTAAGGGTTTTCTGAAATCAGATGTGTTGGGCTGAAAGCAGTCAAGTTATAAACCCCAACAGAACACTCCCTTCTAAAGCTCACATAGAAGAAGAAAAAAAAGCATGGCATGAAACAGAACAAAAGTGTGAGCCTTTACAATTAGAATTTTGATTTTAGGAGCAAAAAATTAAATTAATTATTTTTAGCTCTGCACCACTTGGTGGTCAATTGCTGCATAACAAGCTAGGTATTGTCAGGGCTCTTTGGGAATGAGTGAACAGTGCGGAGGCACAGATAGATCATTACGGTCTGAGGAGAATGGCGCTGTGAGGATACCAGAGGATCTGGTATAAGACAGATACACAATCAGACGGTTACTGGTGCCATCAGAATTGGAACTATTAGCTTGCTGCTGAAGATGGGGGACAAAGCACTTATGGGAGTGTCCCAAGTGCTGTGATGTTTGTCCTTACTTCAACATAATAAACATTAAGAAGAAACATTTAGGTGTTATTAAAACTTTCAGTTCAGTGCCGACTTGTCAATAAAAATATGAGTCTAACATCATATATCGATGCGCTACTAGTGTGAAAAGGGTCCTTTACTTACTTACACTTTCAGTGCTTTGTCAGCTGGGGTATACTGAGAGAATGTCAGATGACAGAGAGGTAAAAACTGTACACAAAGGAGTCTGATGGACATAGACCATGAGGCAGACCAAAAAGATTATAGACATAATATCCAGACAGACATGACAAAACTTGGTGTCATCAACCGGAAAGAGAAGGCCAACCAGAGAGATGAATGGAGTCAGGTAATATCTGCTGCGATGAACCTCAGGGCTCAGAATGCTAAAGAAGAAGATAAATGACAATCACAAAGCGAATAACAGAAAAGGATTGCACAGATGGAATGGAAGACTAGACTAGACTGTGTGACATATAAAGAAAAACAGGATCTGATGAGAATTTGTAAGCTCAGTAATTTTAGAGATCACTGGGAGGTCAATGCTAATGATATGGAATTCATATCGTGTCTGATGCTCGCAGATAAGATAAATGACAGTGGCAAAGCAAATAACACGAGAATCACTGTCAAGACCAAAAGCTCGGATTAGGGTTATGATTATTTAATCTTAAGAGATATTAAAGAGTAGAGAGAAACCATGCCCATACTTACTCATGTCCTTTAGGAGTAAGGACTCTCTGCAGCCACTCATAGCTAGTAAAATACATTCCTGAGGCTGGGACATCTCTGAGAAGTGTAGCTGCTGTACCTCTATAGACACTTCTGATACCTCCTTCCTTGTATATTTTCTTAGCACAGTCTATAGGTCCTTTGTATTTCCGGTCTGCTACACTGGCTTCTTGCTGTATCTGAGATAGAAGCATAAAAAGACATAAAATTGATAACCTCTTCAGTTTACTTTATATTTTTAATTATTAGAACAAATAATGGCCATTGATTTCTTCAAAATTTTTTTTAAAATTTCAAACAGCTTAACATTTTGAAATATTAAATCCATTTATTATATCAGGGCTATTCGGCTAAGTTTACTCAGGGGCCTAAATGTTGAAAATGGTGATTGCTGTAGGCCAGAACTCCGGCCATATAAAGATCCCCTAATATAATACAATTGGCAATAATCCAATTTGACCCCCGGGCAACAAGCTGAATAGCCCTGTATTACACCAAACATAGTTTGAGATAGACATGGAAATAACAGACTAAAACTTCAATAAAATGAGAACTTAGGGAGACAGAATTATTCTCCTTGGAGGAGTTATTAGTTGACTGAAAATGTAAACAGTTACACAAATTTTCCATTTTATAGTATAGATTATAGACCCCAATATTAATCTTTTTTGAGGTTTAACAGGGTAATCTGCGTAGCTTGAAAAAAAAAGTACAGATTACACAATCAACACCACTGACCTGTAGAAGACACTTGATCCTCTCTCCGGGTGCCATGATTACAGTTGTAAACACCCCAGCCAGCATCCCTGCCTTGAAAAGCTGAGGATACCTGTGAACAGACAGCATATACTTCACACTAAAATTTAATCTTTCGGTACTATGTGCATGTTAATCCATTCTAATGTAAAAATGCATCAGAGTAAGAAGCTGTCCACATTATGAAAATTTATAATGGGAAAACATTTTTTATAAAATTAATAATGGAGGCAATCAAGAAAGTAGGCGGAATCCCATATGCATAATATTATAGCTGACAAAAAAGAAATCTCTATTCCCACAACAAACTGCAGTGCAACTGTAAGTCAAGTGGTTAAAGGACTCTTTTCACACCTCTGGCACAGTGGGCAAATGATGCCAGAGCTATTTTTTTAGAGACCAATGGGCAATTGATAGGGCAATGTGGTCAACATCAGGTCGGCTGCTTTTACTTCACAGAACATTACCTAGTACTCATTCTAGTCTGTGTCAATCTGGGAGGAGCCAATGTCAATCTTTTAGGGGAAAAAAAATCCTCCCTAATGCGGATTTGAACCCTAAACCTTCAGGCTGACAAACAAGCATCTAGCTACAATGATACTATAGCTCCCAAATACAAATGACATGCAGATTAACAAGTTTAAAAAAATATTAATAATAATAAAGTATGGAGACATACATTTGAAGCCCAAGTTTGTGTTAAATTATTTATAGCAGCAAACAACTTTAGAGGTTATCAGCAGCTGGGATGGAAGAATATAACGTAACTCTTTCAGTTCAATACAACACATCAGAAGTGTCCTGGTCATTCCAATCGTCTTCATCTGGAGGAAGGAAACTTCGATTCTATCTAACCTGGCCAACCCCCCATAGGAAGGTTGTCTCTAGGATGACCAGGGAGAAATGCAGATAGATCTAGACCAGATTGAGCCCTAGTCCTTGAGCACTATCACTAAAGCCAAAGAGAACCTCAATTAACAGAATTATATGATTCATTCAAACACCAACTTACGTCAGAACCTCATCTTCATGTTTCTGCTGCAGTCGTTTACCAATTCCAAAACCCAGGAAACATATAGCAAATATAGGGGCAACTCCAGTGACTGGGGCAGCCATGCCTTTGTACAGACCAAAGAAACCCTGATAATAGAGAATGGCATTAATTTTGTTAATTTACAACAACAAAACAACCTAATACCAAGTGTTAATTCTGTTCTAGCATTTTTAGTTAGTTTGAATACATTTGACTTGTCATTGAATAACGATGCACAGAAAACTAATAGTCAGCTTTACCTAAATACAATAATAAATAACCAAGCAAAAATTATAGTGGGTACATCTTTCATTATATGCGTTTAGGGCACACTGATAATCCCAGCCTCATGATTGTATATACCAATGGGCACTTAATGTCTGATGTGGTCAAAATCATGCGATCTGTATTTTCTTGTATTTGTCCATCTTTACTGCAGCAATGTTCATTTCAAACTAACAAAGTGAGACCATGTCATTAAATGATTCTGACACCCCTAGTTTTTAAACCATATCTGGTATGAGTTAAGGAAGCAGCATGTGAGGATAGTACCTGGTCAACTCATCTCAAAGCTCTGACTTAGTATCTGTAACATTAAAAGCATTTTTTAATACTTCTAGCGGCGCCCCTGGCTTAGACCCTGCCGACTCGTAATTCCAACGTACCGCGATCAAAACCACTACTGGCTGCGAGGATTTTTATCATGGTATGGGTGCTCTTCTGATATGCCCGATGTGCCTAAAGGCGTGAAAAAGGATTTTTGCCTGTCGGTGTCTTAGGCATTGCGAACGCGCTTCATAATGCTGAGGTCGATCCCACCTGTGGAGGGTTTGTCTTGCATTGGTTTTGACAGTGGCACTGGGAGCTGACCATTCAGTGAGCAATGGCAAACTACTGAAAGTAAAATTGCATAGAAAAACTACAACAGTCAAAGAATGCTGGGGTCAGTTCTGCAATGTCCTGTAAAGGATACGCAACTAACTTAACAGTACTGTTTCTTATTAAAATAAATTTAATTCACCCTATTCTTAAACTGGTCCATATGTTTTTTATTAATTTATATCTACAACAGTGATTTCAAATGAAGTGCAGATCTCCTAACTTGAACAGTGTACACTAGATATAATTCTGTGGCAACGGGGGCAACAATATTTTTTTAATTGGGGGGGGGGGGGGGTTAAAGCCCCACCCTGGCTGTCGTCTGGGGCCCTAATATAACCTGGCACAAGAAAGGGTTTTCTTGGACTTGTGCCCAGGGGATTCTCACCTGAATGGCAGCATTTTGTGCAACCACGTGTTTGTCGCTCATTGAACAACTGGTCATCGCTTAGTGTTCACTAACTAGGCAGAATAATAAAATTAATTTTAAAAATACACCTGAAGTATATCTGATACTAGACCAATATTTTTACAACTGGCGCTGAACCCTGTCACGCGGTAAATGATAGATCTAGGTTCGTCAGGTTTTTGATAGCATGATGTCTTTAGGCAGTGGTCACTACACCTGTAAAACAGCTGTGGTGCATGTTACAAGTGCATATTGTGTAACATGGTGGGTCTGTGCTTTAATAAAGATTCAAACATAATATTACCAGACTGACAGTCAAGTGACCTGATCTCATAATTTATATAATTATTTGAAAAAAAAAAAAAATTACTTGAGCTTATCTCAATGCGTACCTCCTTGGTTACTGTTTTCATAAGGCAATCAAAGGTTCCTTTGAACATGGGAGGCTGACCAGCTGCTGGTTTTGGCATGGTTTGTAATCTCACCTACATAACAAAAAGGAATCATGAGATAAAAAGCACACATGCATATCATCATCATCATCTTGTAACACTGCATCTTGTTGGGTCACCAGTTTCTGTTGACTGTCTGATCCGCTCTCTCCACCTTTGGTGGTCAGTTGCAATGGACTTCATAGTTGCATGCCTGAGACATGTCTAGCCAGTCAGGTTCAGTAACCAGGTCTTTCTTGGTCAGCCTCTTCTCCCCTTTCTCTCTACCGAGCTCTGCAGTATTGTTTTTGAGAGGCCCTTAGATCTCATAACATGCTTATAACATTGCATTTTTTGTCTCTCCACTGTAGTTAAAAGAGGTTCAAAGTTGCAAATGTGCTGTCTAACTATATGGCAAACCTCTTTGTTTGTATTGTGGTTTCTGTATAATATGCAACAAATTTTTCGGAAGCATCACATTTCCAATGCTTGTATCTTCCTTTCGAGTTCCTTTCGTGTTAAGGTCCACATTTCACAGCCACATGTAAATGCACTAACAGCTAGTGCTCTGAGCAATTTAATCATAGTTGTGTATGAAATGTTTTTTGGATCTCCAAAATGTCTGCTGCTTGGCAATGACTGATGTTGTCTGAGCAATCCTAAACATGATTTTTTTGGTCTTGACCACAGGTCACTTAAAATGGATCCTAAATATCTGAAATTATTGACTTGATCTAATTTGTTACCTTTAACTTACAGTGGTGAAGTTATGCCAGGTGGGTTATTTGTCATTACTTTAGTTTTTTCTGTGTTTATTTCCATTCCCGTACAGTTTGTCATAGTTCGACTTCCAATACTAACTGTTCCATGATGTTGTTTTAGGGCATCAGTCATGATTCTTTCTAAGAAGATATTAAACAGTGTTGAGGAGAGAAGGCAGCTCCGACGTACTCCTACTGTTGTTCCAAACCAACTCCCTATTTGTCCGCTCAGGTTGACAGCACTACTGGCCTTGGCATAAAGCTGTTCGTTACTATGTATGACGGTTTTACCCATATTGTCCTTGTTCATAGTGTCCCAGACTGCTGCATGCCATACTCTATCAAAGGCCTTTTTGAAACCAATGAACACATGGTAAAGATGTTTCTGGTGCTGGTTGTATTGCTCTGATAATATACACATACACACACATAAAAGAACTATAGAAGATACTGTAACAGAACATAATGTGAGATAAGTAATGAATTTCTATTGTATAGATACCCTGGGATTTATCAAAAGGTTAGAAGGGGTGAAGGTAACACAATTTATCATAGTAAAGTAGTTAAAATAATGAATTAGATAACTATTTGTTGGTAATGCTGAACTATGAAACCTTAATGCACCTAAAATATTGGAAATAATTGAGAAAATAAGTTATAACAATTAAGAACAAATAGGTTCTGGTTAAACATACCAGCAATATTAATTTTAACTAATATATTATTACTTTTTTTCTGTAGGCAATAAAAAACGGTCAAAGTCCATGTTGAAATGTTTACTCTTCTAACACTAGACTAGAACTTTCATGACACACTAACATTGTGAACTAATTTAATGCAATGATTTTACTTACTTTAACTGTGTCTAGCGGATGGCCTGCTACGACACAACATACTCCTCCTACACCCCCAGCGACGAAATCTTTGATTGCGCTAGGTTTAGGCTTAGACATGTTGTCTGCTAGATGTGTTCCAGGACTGGACTCAACACGGTAGCTATATACAGCTTATATATACCTGCTGTGTATACCTTGTCGACGGAAGTCGCAGAACCGGGGAGGCTATCCTTAGAAAGTGGTCTTGAATACTGCAGGGTTACTTCTTTTTGTTGATGTGTCAGCATCATCAT